CACCTGAGGTAGATTCTGATTCTGTCTTTGTTTCAAAGATGAGTTCAGTTGGCAAAGGCACTGAGTGTTTCAGGTTCTGAGTTGTTTTTGCAGGTATTTCTATTTCAGCAGAGTTTTCTTCTATCTTAGTTTTTTCTTTCAGTTTAGAAAGTAACTCTTTTTTGTTGTTTTTTGTCCACAATGATTTAACTGCTTCGTAAATTTGCTGGCTTGTAGTATATGCCTTTTTCCCAGTTACCTTTGCGATTATTACTGACTGAACTGGATAGCAAACAGTTGCTCCTAAAGTGGCCAGTCCCAGTGGATAAGCAATTTTCTTAAACCTAGAACCTTTTCTTGCTGAAAACAAGCCTGCTAATCCCGAAACTGTAGTCACTCCAATTTTTGGAAGAAAATCTCGAGGTGGGTTCTTTAGATAGATATAAGCATCTTTTCCATACTGTACTGTATCCATTATCCCATTTTTCACAAAAACATAAACACCCTTGCACCAGTCAATATAATGACCAGTTGTTGTGCGGATGTATGCAAAGCCCATTTGTAAATGACCAGGCTGATCTTCAACATATTTAGACTGCAGAGGTGGTGTGGTATATATGGGGAGCTGCTCTGGTTTTACTAGATGCTTTTTCAATTCTTCTTCTTTGGCCGCATGCATACTTATAGATGCACATATCAGACCTGCAGGTATGGTTGTCAGCTTTCCCATCCTAACAGCCACCATGTCTGTGACCTTCTCCGTCTAAGTTTTTATCTGGTTTATTTCTTTTAAAATTCACTTTTTGGGGCGCCTGGGTGGCTCAGTTGGTTAAGCGTCCAACTTCGGCTCAGGTCATGATCTCACAGTTCGTGGGTTCGAGCCCCACGTCGAGCTTTGTGCTGACAGCTCAGAGTCTGGAGCCTGCTTTGGATTCTGTGTCTCCCTCTTTCTCTGCCCCTCCCCACTCATGCTCTCTCTGTGTCTCTCAAGATAAATAAACATTAAAAAAATAAAAAATAAAATTCACTTTTCTAAGTACCCTTTAAAAATATTCATGTCCCTCTACTTCGTGGTATCTTTTAAAGTAATTCTCTTGATATGCTCTGCAATTTCCTTGCACAGCTTTCTTGACTCCAATTAGGTGGCTATTAGATTACCTAAATTAATCTTAATGCTCTTATATTTTCTTTCAAATTTACTTTTTTCCTTTTTCTAAAAGTTTATATATATACATACATACATACATATATAAAAGTTATATATAATAAACATTTAAAAGTTTATAAATACACACACACACACATATATATGTATATATATTTAAGGAGGGGGGAGGGGTAGAGAGAGAGGGAATTGGAAAATCCCAAGTAGGTTCCACACTGTTAGCATAGACTCCAGTACAAGGCTTGAACCCTTGAACCATGAGATCATGACCTGAGCTGAAATCAAGAATTGGACACTTAACCAACTGAGTTACACAGGTGCTCTACTTTTTTTTTTCCTTTTAATCTCTTAATTTCCCAGGAAACTTTCTCAACTGTATTTTACAGCCATTTTAGTAAATTTTAGTAAATTTCCAAAAATTAATTTAAAATTAATTAAATCTTAAAGATAAATCCTTGAGACATTAAAAGGAAACCCAAATGGCAGTCCAGCAACAGATCAAGGATGTTCTCTGATTGGAACAAGTGATGATCACGCATATAGATGAGTGCCATAAATGACAGTAATATTGTAAGGGATGAGAGGATGTTTAAAAAATATCTAAGACCACTATCATTTTCTCTGGTAGTTCCTTTCCTTTGTATCCTGGGGTGCGATGTGTATTCTCAAATGTCTCTAAAAATATTAGTAGTTTGGAAATTTCTCATTTCCTACAATATTGGTATTTCTCCTGGGGTAACTTTTCTTCCTCTTTATGTATGTTATTCTTTCTTTCCAGTATTTGAGAATTTTCTCAAAAGTATACAGACTTGCGGTTATCTGTTCCAACTTAAGAGAAGGTTCTGGGAATCAATCAATATGATTCACTAAATTAAAGAATAAAGAAGGAAAATCATATAAATATCTCAACAGATGCACTTGATAACATTCAACATCTGTCCATGATAAAACTATCAGCAAACTAGGAATAGATAGTAACTTCCTCAGTCTCATGAAAAACACACACACACACATACACACACAATGAACAGCAAACATTGTACTTAATGGTGATACTAAGTGCTTTTTTCCTAAGATTGGAAATAAGACAAAGAAGTCCATTCTCACCACTTTTCTTCAACATTGTGTCTAAACTCAACCAGTAAAATAAGAAAGAAAAAGAAATAATTGTTGGAAAAAGAAAAGTAAAGGAGTTTTGCTTGCTGATGACATGATTATTTATTTTCTATAAAATCCAAAAGAAATATACAAATACATTACTGGAATATAAGAATTTAGCAAGCTTATAAATACATGGTTAATTAATGTTTTTGAAAATTAGTTTATTCCCATACAGTTATAACAAGCAATTTAAAAATCAATACCATTTAAAGCAATGCCAATTTAAAAAAGCAATACCATTCCTAGTTAGGAATAAGTTTAATGAAAGATGTGTATGACTTCTTTATGAAAACTATAAACATTTCTAGACAAAACTAAGGAAAACCAAATAAATGGAGAGCTATACAATGTTAACAGATTGGAGTTCAATATTATTAAGATATCAGTTGTTACCAAATTTATCTGTAAGTTCAATGCAAACCCTATAAAAATCCAAAAGACTTTTCTTGTAGAAATTGACAAATTGATTTTAAGAGACATTGGAAAACCAAAAACCTAGAAAAGCCGATACAATTTTTTTCTAATCGACTTTAAGACTTTCTATAAGCTACAGTGTGCAAGCCAATACACTATTGACATAAAGATAGACAAATAGATCAGTGGTACAGAATAGACAATCCAGAAATAGATCCATGCCTGTATTGTAAATTGCTTTGTGAATTTTTTCATTAATTTGTGGTAGGCAAAGATTTCTTAGTACATTAAGGTTATTAACCAGAAGAGAAGAATTGAAGGATTTGGCTTCATCAAAATTTTAAAAAATTCTCATCAAAACACATGGTTAAGCACACCACAGACAGGGAGAAAATGTTCATAATGCATAAATCAAACATATCAATTCTTTCCATAATATAAAACAAGCTGCTACACATCAGTAAGTAGTAAAAAGTAGCCCAACAATAGAAATGGGCCAAAGACTTGAACAGACACTTTACAAAAGAAGATGCATGAATTGCCAACAAGCATATGAAAGTGTGCTCAACGTCATTAGTCATTAAAGGAATACAAATTAAAACTATCTAGGATACAACATCATACACATGAAAATGGCTAAAATTAGGAAAACTTTATATAATAAACTCTAAAAAATAGTTTGGCAGATTCTAAAATAGCTAAGCATACTCACACCATGACCCTCTCCTAGTGGTTTACACAAGAGAAATGAAAACATCATGCCATAGAAAGATGTGTACGAGAACAGCAGCTTTAGTCACACAAGTCTCAAACTGGAATCAATCTAAGCAGCCACCAACAGGAAAATGAATTAGCAGATTGTGGTAGGTCCACACAGTGGAATAGCTTCAACAACAAAAACGAACAAACGTCTATTCATCCAACAGCATGGGTGATGAGCAAATGTCAGGCACAAAGCATACATGATGCATTATTATTCCATGTATATGAAATCCAGTAACAGGCTAAATTCACACATGGTGATAGAAAAGTCAGCTATGTTTGCCTTTGAGAGGCTGCTTGGATCCAGGGGGTCAGCGTGTAGGTTGAGAGGTTACACGTACACTGTTCTATTCACCATTTTTTAAATGACATGTAAGTTTCCAGCAACATGTTTCCAGAGTTGTGATCTCCACTGCCTCTTCCGGGTTCTCCAGGGCAAACCAATTGTTTTTCTGTGCTTCTACAACAGCAATTAACACCCCTCTGCCCACTTTTGTCTTACAGATTTCGATGGAACTCTCTCTTGTTCTCATTGCCCCTTGATTCTCTTTGAATGTGAATCCAATTTCTTTATTATCATTTTAGCAGGGCTTTTAATAAAAGACAAGACAAATGCTTCTTTTCAGTCTGTGGTCTTTGAACTTTAAACATTTTTGTCAGGGATGTGACACAATAATGTGACATTATTATTCCCTGAGACATGCTAAGTACTGAGAAAAAGCTTCTGAGTCTTCATGATACAAGATGTTGATTAAAACATTATTATCAGAACAATAAAATGATCAACTAAGAAATGGAATTACAGACTCCAGTTTAAAATTACTTTCACAGGAAACATTAGTGATTTCTGAAATTCAGGTGCCTGAAAAGATTCACTAGCACAGACAGATTCATATTAACATAAAGCAGGGCCAGATGTCCCAGGAGAAATGTTTGATATTCTTGTGAAATTATCAATTTATACTGTGTCATATCATTATTAACCATATCTTATCCTTCATAAACTAGTTTTAGAATATTAGCAGGATGGTATTTCTCTTAACAGCTGTACGGTGGAAAGGGAACAGCTTGTTTTTTCTTTCTGATATTTTTCTTTTAGTTGTTAATTAGAGAGTATTTTCAAAGTTAGATTTTTATCTTTTTGCTTTCCTTTTTTCAAAATTGTTTTATTTGAGTGTGGTTTATTCCATTGCTTTCCATTCTTCTGTTCACTCCATCTTGATTTTGTTTAAACTTAAATTTTTAATCACAAAAACTTTTCAGATATGTGAAGTTATCTTTACAATGGTTTTGATCTGGGCAGACTGGAATCCTGCATTTAAGTCTTTCTTAATCTCCACGGTTTCTCCATCATATCTTTGCTTATTGTTTTAACTCCATGTATTCTGTCTCTACTCAGGACCACTTAACTTATGTAACAGTTTTTCACAGCTTATCCTTCATATATAAATCTTACAGCCACCACAAGCATCTTGGAATCTTGATGACCCATTTTTCATATGGTGTCCTTCCTTCCTAGGGTATCTTCAGAAGACCAGAGCATCGATGACAGACTCATCTATGAGACTTTATTCAAACACTTCAAAAGACACAAGGTGGAAATTTCAAATGCAATAAAAAAGACATTTCCTTTCTTTGAGTGCCTCCGTGACCGTGAACTCATCACGAACAAAATGTATGATGTAAGTGATGCTTATTATGCCACAATATGGTAAACTAGCCCTAAACGAAATTATATTTTGATACCCTGGATCGAAACATCAAGCACAACTGGCCGACTGAGGAGTCTCCTATGAGTGGGGGACGTTTCCAAGAATTGTTGCAAGTGTTTCCTATAAGGCAAAAAGTGAAAGGAGAATCAGCCATCGCCAGAGACAGCCCTGCTTCTCACTTAAGGAATGGAACTCCATGGTGCCTCCTGGAGTTGGGCTGAATAGCACTGCAAATGGGCTGGATCTGAACCAAGAGCTCTCAAGAGATGTATAATGCCTTGTAGGAATGGATAGAATATAGCATAAACTAAGAATTAAAAATAATTTTAATGAATCGCTGTATAACATAAATGAATTAATTTAATAGAATAATAATCAACACATCATTTCAGTGGACATTGGTTTCAATCCTTAGATCTGAGAACATTAAAACCTATAGGAAACTGGTGTCCTGTTAGGACAAAATTTGGGAATTGATTGATGACTGTTATTCTTTCTTCAGCAGTCTTCAGTTGTCAGGGTTTTTTTTCTCTTTTTCTCTTTCTTTTTTTTTTAATGGTACTTCTGGAGTTTTGGAATTTGGTTTAATTATATTTTTATTAATTTTTTTATTTTTTTAAATGTTTTATTTATTTCTGAGAGAGAGAGAGAGAGCGTGCGCAGGGGAGGGTCAGAGAGAGAGGGAGACACAGAATCCAAAACAGGATCCAGGCTCTGAGATGGCTGTCAGCACAGAGCCCACGCAGGGCCGAACCCACAAACCGTGAGATCATGACCTGAGCTGAAGTCAGACGCTCAATGAACTGAGCCACCCAGATGCCCTGGGTTAATTTTAGTTGTAGGCATTATTGGAGATACAGAAATGCAAGTCTTCTTTCTTTAATGTTTATTTTGAGGGAATGAGAGAGAGAGAGAAGGAGTACACAAACAGAAGAGGGTCAAAGAGAGATAGACAGAGAGAATCTCAAGCAGGTTTCTTGTCAGTACAGAGCCTGACTAGGGGCTTGATCTCATGAACCATGAGATCATTACCTGAACTGAAATCAAGAGTTGGACACTTAACTGACCAAGCCCCAATTCAAGTCTTCTCTTTGCCCTATGAATGTGCTTTCTCTATTGCCATGTTCATAAAAAGGAAGAACTGTCACCTGCTTTGTTTGAGCTCTTCAAGGCCAAGTCAGTCCTGGGGAAAGGGCAGAGATTGTCCATGTAAAAGAGCAGCTGCTCATCAATTCTTAGTCTATTCCTAAAATATCAGTCCAGGTTCTTAAAGGGCTACAGATCATTTAACTTTGAAACTGTTATTCTTCAAAGTTGCTCTCACCTCTAATGTGAATGAAGGTGAGGAGATCAGTTTTACAAGTGAGTATTTTTAAGGAGGAAGGATTTACATACAAATATATAGAAATTCTAAAACTTTGTATGAGAAGGTACCTATGGAGGGAACTTGGAATACATTACCCAGAAAAATCACTTTCTGGGGCTATTCTTAACTTAGAAGTCTGTATTTATATTTTCTCCATTCAATATTTTTTAAGGATTGTCAAGAGTCTTGTAGAAACCTGGTCCCTGTACAAAAAGTGGTGTATAACGTTCTCAGTGAGCTGGAGAAGACATTTGACCTGCCACTTCTGGAAGCATTGTTCAGCGAGGTCAATATGCAAGAATACCCTGATTTAAATAACGTTTATAAGACCTTCGAAAATGGTAATTAGGTTTATTATCTACCTTTTGATGTCCAGGGCTAATTTTTTTTTTTTGACAGGTATTGAGCTACTACAATGTGCTACATATAGTGCTGGGCAGTGGGGATATAACAGTTAAGAAAACACAGATCATGAGCTTTCTCAAAGCTTACGGTATAATCGCTTTGGTACAACACCCACCTGGACATCTGCTTAACTAGGCATTTAGACTCACAGGATAACCAGAGCCAAACTGGCATCAGATTGACTTAGCAGGACATATTACAAGAAATACAGCATCCCAACAGGCTAGTAGCAGTTGCTCCTCTCTTGTGGGACTCCTTGCAGTGGTCCACACAGCAGTCCGCCAAGTTGGACTACTGCCCAACTCAAGTGTCAGCTTAGCTGTGGATGAAGGATCCACCCTGGCTTAGTAACACCATGCCCAAGGGTATCAATAGCTCATGTAACAGTGCTGTAGTTGTAAGTTTCAGGGACCCCACAAGGGACAAGGTGACTTGTAAGTGTGACCACACGTGTGACCACACTAAAGGAAGACCAAAGTATGCTTTGTAGTCTCTATATAATCCCTCCCAATCCACATACACTTTACAGTCATTTTTAACCCTAAACTAGGGCTAAAACTTGGGTTTTAAAATGTTTTTAAGGTTTATTTTATTTTTGAGAGAGATACACAGAGTGCAATGGAGGAGGGGTAGAGAGAGAAAGGGAGACACAAAATCTGAAGCAGGCTCCAGGCTCTGAGCTTTCAGCATAGAGCCCAATGCGGGGCTTGAACTCACAAACTGTGAGATCATGACCTGAGCTGAAGTCAGATGCTTACCAGACTGAGCCACCTAGGTGCCCCTAAACTAGGTTTTAAGTAGGCTGATGTTGGCCTAACATCACAGAAGAAAGGCCACATTGATTAGGTTTCCAGAGTAATGATCCAGAAAGTTAACCCAAGGTCAAATTTACCCTTGAAGAAGGAGAATTTTTAAAAATTTTTTAATGTTTATTTATTTTTTGAGAGAGAGAGAGTGAGCATGGGAGAGGCAGAGAGAGGGAGACACAGAATCTAAAGCAGGCTCCAGGCTCTGAGTTGTCAGAACAGAGTCTGACACAGGGCTTGAACCTACAAATTATAAGATCATGACCTGAGCCAAAGTTGAACTCTCAATTGACTGAGCTACCCAGGCACCCTGGAGAATTGGTTTTATTAAGTGCAATGAACATTCAAATAATCACAAAACCAATGGTCTGCCAGATACTCTACAAAACTAAAGGTTTGATTCTTGATTTTTTTCCCCTGGGAAGTCATGATTTTTATTTTATTTTTAAAATGATTTTATTTTAATTTATTTTAAGGCCTGCAAAAGTTAAGAGAATGTGTGTGTGTGTGTGTGTGTGTGTGTATAATTTTTTTTACTTGCCTAGAAAACCTTTTATTTCATCACAGTTTGGTGTCAGTGGAGTTCTCCAAATAAGGTATAGAGACATCATTAAAAGACTCACATGTCCTGAGGAGATCTGGCATTATGGTATCAGGCATGATGTGTCCAAGGGTCCAGTGTGTCTTTAAAACAAAGACAAATTTGATTTGTCTCAGAAAGTGAGAAGCAGACTATGGAGCTGATCCTTGAGAGATAAGTTTGAAGAAGATTTTGGGAAGTCTAGCATAGAAAGCTAAGTAACTGGAAGTTTATTAACAGGCAATAAAGAGATATCAACAGTTTTATAAACAAGGACAAAATTTAGCAGATATAAAGCATGTGGTTTGTTGATTTGTGTCAACAGTAACCTTATCTAATTAAGAAGAAAATAATTTCTACAGCAAGTCAGTATGGTTAGAAATGGAATTAAGGAAATTAAATACCTAATCAGAAATTTCAAGTCAGTATTATATTTGTAACCAGGATGCCCCGGGCCATGGGAACGAAGGGAATGGTGATTACCTGACAACTGCCTGCATCTCGGGGGCTCTGATCCTCTCTGTGGACTGGAGGGACCCTCCCTTCCAGGTTCACTGTCCACATCACACATGTTAGGTTCCAGGGCTCCCCGAGCTGGGGTGACCCGCATCTACACTTGCTGCTGCTCACCTGCTCCTGTGGAAGTAACAGCTGCCACCTCCCGGACCCTGTTGTACCCAAGAGCGTGGGTCAGTGACCCAAGGCCAAGAATCTGGGGGCTGTGGCCTGGGTGAGGCACCCTCTCCTCTTGCCCAGTCCCCACCTTGATCTGGTGCACAGAGGCCCCTGAGCCCCCATGGGACCCTCCACACACAGACCCCCTCCACCTTTCCCTTTGTTCTCTTGAATCTTTCACCTGGTTTTGCCAGGATCTGAGGCCAGGTCCTGGGATGATAAAGCACCCGTGGCTCCCACCATCCAGTGGAACTCACCCCCCGCTGGCGCTGCCCCAGGAGGAGCTCCCGCCATCGTCCCTGCGCCAGCGAGTCCCCACCTCCCTGGTGTCTCCTCCTCCCTGGTCCCCCCTCCTCCCTGGACTCCCCACAAACACCCCTCCCCCAGGCTTCCTGGTTGATTTCCTTCCTCCCACGTGTGTTGGGTCACCTGCAGACAGGGGCGCTGGACAGGTGTCCCAGCCTCCCCAGCCCCTGGGGCGGGCGTCTGGGGTCGTCCTCCAGCGCTGCGATCTGCTCCGTGCTCAGAACCGTGGAGTGTCCTGTGTCCCTGGGAGCTGGGCCCCTGGGGGGTCTGTCGTGGTTCCTCCTGGTGTCCCCTGCTCTGTGTCTTTGGGAAGCTCCCACCTTCCCTGCCCCAGCCCTCCTCTTGTCTAGCAGCATCTTTAGAGTAGCTGGGCTTTCTCTTTCACACCCAGGGATCTCTCTAGGAGCATAGCTCATCTCCCAAGCAAATCCCTGTTTCTTCCTTTCAATTTGAACAATTCAGAAACACATTTTAGTCTTTTTATTTCTTTTGATACATACTTTTTTTCCTGGCCACACACAAATTCTTATACAAAACTAACAGGATCATGGTGTTTTCCTTTATCCTTCTATATGGAGGGGCTCCTTTCCGTGTGAAAAACATAGACTCTCTTGCTGGGAGTTCTCTTTTCTATCCCAGGATGGGGGAACTTTACAAAGAGGATCAGAGTCACTGAGATTGGAATGACCTGAGGGATAGGAGTTGTTAACTGTGTAATATTGAGGTGTTGTTCCTGATCTCTGATGGGAGTCCCTAATTGCCTCCTCTGTCTCCCTCTCTTCAGCAATCCAAGAAAAATTTAGTTACCAAGAAAGTGATGGAGAAGAGGTGGTGAAGAGTCCTAATATTCAACTGAGCCTTGAAAAAGGTGATTGTAACCTGATAAACGCCAATTCTCATCTGCAAAGAAGAAAAGGAGAAAGGGAACTCAGGCCTGAGTCCTGAGCGGATTTGAGGAATCAGGGAAGAAATGTTAAGGAACAAGGAGAAGGCAAGGAGTGGTATTTGTGTCAACATCTAACCAGAGGCCAAATCCTGGAGGAGTGGCTATGACAAAAGACTATTGGCCCAATAACCAAGATGAAGGGACAGAAAGCCAACATGTCGGTAAACCAGACTTAAGCAGATAAACTACCAGGAAGTAATTGTGATTTAGGAAGTCCCCTATAGGAGAAAATCAGTGTAAAGCTGTGAAGGGCTAACAACTGGGGCCCATGGTCAACATTAAATGATGGCAGATGGGACCAATTTCAATGTGGGGGATGTTGTTCAAGAGCCCAGATATTCAAAGAAAAGGCCAGTCACACAAAGAAAAGAGGAAGTGGTAGAGAGGCAGAGGCTCAGATGTGGGTAATTTGAGGGAGAGAAGGAGGGGAAATGAAAACGGAGAAGGACAGGTTAAAAGACACACTAGAAATAACCATGTTATTTTTTTTTTAAAGCTTATTTATTCATTTTGAGAGAGAGAGCGAGAGCATGTGCAAGCATGAGGAGGGGAAGTGGGGACAGAGAGAGAAGAAAAAAGAGAATCTAGAGCAGGCCCAACACAGAGCTCGATCTCACAAACCATAATCATAACCTGAGCCAAAATCAAGAGTTGACACTTAACTGACTGAGCCACCCAGGTGCCCTGAAATAACCATGTTACTAACACCTCACTGATTAAACATTTGCTCTGACAGTTTTACGTTTGTAACCTAACAACACTCAGGCTGCCTTTGGAGGTTAGCCTTGTGTATGTGCCCATTTTGCAGACCCTCTGTGTAGTTGGCCGGGAGTCAGATAAACAAGGATGAACCCAGACATTTTGAACCCAGAGCCTGTGTGTGTCTGTGCGTGTGTGTGTTGATGGAAGTAAAATTCACATTGCACAATATTAACCATTTCAAAATATATAGTTTAGTGATATTTTTAGTGCATTCAGAACGTTGTGCAACTACTACGTCTACCTAGTTCCAACACATTTGGATCACCTTAGAAGGAAGCTCCATGTCACTCCCTCTGCCCCTCTTTCCAAGACTCTGGCAACCACTAATCCAGTTTCTTTCTCTTTGGATTTACCTATTTGAGACATTTCATTTAAATGGAATCATACAAGCATGGACTTTGTGTCTGGCTTCTTTCACTCAGTGTACTTTTTCAAGGTTCATCCATGTTGTAGCGTGAATTAGTCCTTCATTCCTTTTTATTAGTGGTTAGCATTCCCTTGTATGCATATATAACATTTTTCTTATTCATTCATCAGTCAGTGATGGTTGTTTCAACCTTTTGGCTATGACAGAGCCTGCATTAATAACCCTGTACTGCCATTCCAGTAATCTAGTGAAAAAGACAGAAACATGAGCAAAAATTGGGAAATATATGCAGAGAAAGATACAGAAAAAAATACCAAAAATGGGAGAATCAGAAAAAGAGTCCTTGTGGAAAGGCCAATGAGATAGACTGAACAGATGTGAAGAGGGAGGGTGTGGAGGGAGAGGACGTAGGGACAGAGCCCCAGAACTTTGTAAGAATCCAGATAAGGGTGCTGGTCAAGGGCAGCTCTGGCAACAAAGGCAGCTTTACTGTGGCCATGAGAGTCAGGATAAGCCATCACCAGTTATTCAAGTACCTTGTGTGGGAAACTCAGTGAGATGGCCTAGACAAGGCCCTCTTAGCCTGGGATGCAGCTGACCCTAGACCTCCACTCTGCAGACTGGGGTCTGACTACAAGAGTTGTGTGGTAACTGCCAAGTCCACATGGTCTCTGTAATGATACCTGGAGGGGATCTTCAACTTCTACTTTATAAAAAACGGATTAGGGAAGCACAGCACAGACCATACACTTCAGTTTCTGAAATAAACTTTCAATTTCTTCCCCTTAGGAACTGGTGAAAACTCATATCGAAGCCTGACCTGGTTATGCCCACAATCCTCATCTGACAATGGTCTGTTCTTGTTGACTGTATTCTGTGATCCTTTGCTGTTCTTGTCCCATTCTGGAATGTTCTAGAAGGGGGGCGTGGCTGCTTCTTTGTATCACTGATTGCCCAGAATGTCCATCTTTACTTCTGCAATTTCTTCAAGAAATTTCTGGGGTTTTTGCCCTGAGATTCATTCCTTACTTCGCCTGCTCTGCTCTGCCCTCTATCTCTGGTCACTGGCCCCTGTGGACTTACTTGCCAGCTCCCTTTGTGGCTGGCTTCCTGTTGATTTCCTGATTTTGGGTACTAACAAGTCATTGGAGAATAAGAACAAGGGAGAAGTTGGATATTTCCCCATCATTTCATTTGCCCATGATTCTGACAGTGGCTGCATCTCACCTATGATACTACTTCCCACCAAGCAGGCCAGCCAGGGGCCAGCTTCTATCCACCCAGTGATCCTGGCCTCTGGATCAGGCCCTCCCATGGCTTACTGTTAAATATTCTTCCAGTTCCTGCATTCTTCTATTTGCACTTCTTAGCTCTTCCATCAACTGCATAACCAACCCCCTGGATTAAATCCCTCTGCTGTAAAAGCTTAGAGTGACTTGTATTTTCCTGTTGTGCCCTGATTGATGCAGAAGGAAAATAAAATATCTCTGAATCAAAAATGGTTTAGGTACAACCCCACGTGAAAATGGACTCTCAGAGAGCCTCTGTGAAACAGAAAAGATAAATGCAAACAGAAGAGATTCAACCAGTGATGAAAATGATGCACTAGAAAGTGAACAAGCAAATAAAGAGTGTGCCCAAGAGTCTGAGCCAGCAGGTAAGGCTGATTGCCTGGGTTTGCATGGGCATGGAGGGGCCATGCTGGTGGCAGAGAATGGAGTCTTGCACAACCCAAGGAAACATCTATTAACAAAGAAGGGGAAACTCATGCAGACACAGAGGGGGCAGTAATGGAGCCTAACATATTGATGGGAGAGGCCTAGAGGAAGAAAAGTTAGGAAACACTAACAAAGAAACAAAGGGTGAAATTTTTCAGTACCTTATCAGAGAGACAGAAAGAAAAGTCAAAAGAAGTCAGGGAGACATTGGCCACAGAATCACTGAAGCATGAACACTTTTATGGAGTGAAGGTGGCAATGTATGCAGATAAACTATAAATAGAAACATGAGAAAAAAAGAGATGTCAAGTGAGATATAAAATGGAAATAGGCAGAATAGGCTCTGTCGGGTCTCAGCTGTGGTCTTTTTTATCCTCAGAGTCCTGTGAACAAGCACTTATCCAAGTGAATAATGGAGATACAACAGAAGAGACACCCAGCACATCACCCTGTGATAGAGAAGGTAATTATTACTTTTCTTACCAATGTTCAAATTCTAGCTATATGTTTTTCTATGAGAACAAAAGCTTTCCTTTTTTCTCTTTATACCAACTGCCTCCCTGGTCCTAACATCCAAGACCCACACCCTTTGGCTACTTTAAAAAAAATTTTTTTAACATTTATTTAGTTTTTGAGAGACAGAGAGAGACAGAGCATGAGCAGGGGAGGGGCAGAGAGAGAGGGACACACAGAATCGGAAGCAGGCTCCAGTCTCTGAGCTGTCAGCACAGAGCCTGATGTGGGGCTTGAACCCATGAACTGTGAGCCAAAGTTGGACCTCAACCGACTGAGCCACCAGGCACCCCACCTCTGGCTACTTTTAAGTCATGTGAGATGCAAGTGGGAAAGAGCTCAGTTCTTTAATGGAGGGGGTGTCCCTGAGGAGAAAACGCAAGGAGAGAAATTATGAAAAAGTGAACCGAGGAACCCTGAGTGGGAAAGTACACGAACAACATAGGTTTTAGATAAATTGACATGGAATCCAAACAGTACCATTTTGTGGATTGGTGAAAAGGAGTAAGTTGCAACTTGCTTTTCAGAAGTTGTAACAGAAACTTGAAAGTTATGCATGATGCTGCTGGTCAGATTTGTGACCACAGAAGCCCTGGTGAAGGACTTGTAAAAAGAAGTGACAGATGAAGGGATTTGGAGCAGGGGACAGTGACACAGGGGGAAAATTCTGATGATGATTGAATGCTTGAGATGAGAAAGATGAATAGAAAGAAAAAATCAATATAGAAGAGGCACTTTAATAATTACGAAACAAAGACAGGATAAGAGAAAGCAGAAAATGTTACAGAGAATGGATACACTGAAAAATCAGGTAGAGGACAGTAGGGCCAGTTCTAGGGGGAGGCAGGAAGGCCCTGAGGCACATGTAAAGAAAATCTTACTCTTGGTATCTTCTTGTGCCCCCAGCACCTCCTCTGCCCCATCCTAGGCCCTGCTGGGCCCTGGGAAATAGTGATAAACAATGTTGAAATAAAGAGCATGATAGAGAAATATACAGAAGGAAATGAATACCAGTAAGTAGAGAAAATGGGAGGAGGCACTAAGAGAACTATGTAGAGGATGAATTAAGGGACCATAAATGAAAAACTGGTAAAAGATGGACCAGATGAAGAGAAGACAAATAAAGACATTGTCTGAATTGAAGAGACAGTCACTGGAAAGAAAGCACAATGGAAGGGCTCTTACTAAGACCATTGAGAAAGGTAAGGTGTCTGCAATGATCGAAATGGCCCTTTAACACCCTCATATAAAAATAGGCATCTAACCAGACATTTAAGTTCTCCATGGCTTCTGTCACCATCTGTGATCTATGGATTCCTACACACACATCTCCAATCCAGACCTGCTATCTAGATTCATCCCTTCAAGTGCCTGAAGACTTGTATTCAAAGGTCTGAAAGCTATCTCTGTTTGGAGGCTGTATCAGTTATTTATTGCTGTGTAACAAGCAGTCCCCAAATTCAGTGGATTAAAAACAGCTATGACTTTATTTGCCACTTTTGTCAATTCCAACTTTAAAATATGTCCAGCTTGCTCATTTCTCTCCATCTCCAGGATGCTCACTCTAATCCAGATTCCTATCACTTCTCACCTCAAACAGAGGACCTCTCTTGCTGGTCTCTTCCCTCCTGTCTTGCTCCGCTCAGAACCATTCTCCACACTTCAGCTTAATGCGCATTTCAAAAATGCAAACCAGTTCATGTGTCATTCCTATACAAGCCCAGTGTCCTCCTGTGGCCCTCAGCATGAGGTCAACACTGCTTAGTATGGACTATTGAAGGATACCTGCCATGCAGTTTCATATTCCCACCTCACTTTCCCTCCCAGCAAGTTCCCACCACACCAAGTTTCATTTCTTCACTTGAATTTTCCAAGCTCTCTCAATTATATCTCAGCCTTTACACAAGCTTTTGGAAAATAGTTTGGTATACTCTTTCAAAGTTGAAAACCAATAGAAATGCATACATATAAGTGCTGCACTATTCATAATAGCCAAAATCTTGAAATGGCACAAGTACATTTTTTATGGTTTTGTTTTTAATGGGTTATTTCTACAATGGAATACTATGCACCAGTGAAAAACCAAACTGAATACAGATGACTCTCACACACATAATGTTGAGAAAGGAACGCAAATTTCTCCGCCCCTCCTAAATGACAGAGAGACCAAGAAACAGCAAATAGGAGAGAAGGGACATGATTCTATTTATACAAACTTATGTATATTTTGGAACTGGCAAAATAAATTATCAGTGGAATTAATAATCAAGGTGGTGATTAATTTGAGTTACATGATGGAGACACTTAGTGGGAAGTATCACTAAGAGGCTTCTGGGGTGTTAGTAATCTTCTATTTCTTGACCCCAGTGACAATTACCCAGATATGTTCACTTCATGATGATTCAAAATTTATGATTTAATCATTTTTATGTATGTAACATACTGAAAATATGATTTTAATTTTTAATTTTTTATGTTTACTTATTTTACAGAGAGTGTGTGTGTATGAGTGGGGAGAGGTAGAGAGAGAGAGGGAGTGAGAGAAGCCAAAGCTGACAGCATGTAGCCTGATGCAGGGCTCTAACTCATGAACTGTGAGATCATGCCCTGAGCTGAAATCAAGAGACAGATTAACCGACTGAGCCACCCAGGTGCCCCAATATACTTTTTATTTTTAAAACAGCAAAAAGTAATTCATCAAAAGTAAAAACAAAAAATCCCCAAAGCCCAGAATCCAGGAAGGCACAGAGGAAGGGACACAGTTAAGCAGCAGAAAAGAAGAGGGGTGGGGGCAAAGCTTCACCCCTGCAGTGGATTTACAGGGAGAGGGACTTATCAATAGTAGGGAAGGGTGTTTACTCCCTTTGGGGAGACAAATGAAAATTCTTCATTCATTCCAATTTGATCCAGGAGTAGAGCTACCAGGCCATGGGATCCAAATAAATTCCTGTTCTGTATATCTGGTGGATATAAAGAAGGAAAAGCCATTTTTTAACTCGACAGTTGATCAGCAAGCCCAAGTAAAGACCAACTGTAACCAGGCCTCCGACATAATAGGTAAGTCTGACTGTAAGAGTGTGGAATGTGAGTCACCAGTTCCAAGAAAGGGGCTGGGACATGTCAGCAGGGTCCATCAAGGGAGTCCAGGTGACCTTGGATGGAGGCAAGGGAGGAGGAACCAGCACTGCAGGCAGTGAGCTCTGCAGGTGAAAGTCCCTGTAATTGGAAAAATACCAAAAGACAGAAATGGTGGGTTTAAGTATTAATGTACAGGAGGCCATTTCCAAAGCAAAAGAAGAAAGTATGGGGGTAGAACCTGAAGAAAAGAAAAAACCCAGAGAGCCAAGATATTCATGAGAGGAGATGAAAGACAAAGAGAGGTATAAAGAGATACCATTGCCAGAAAGAGAGATTTAAGTAGGGGAAACAGTCAGAGCCAAGAGGAAAGTAAAGAAGTAAATTGAGAAACAAAGACAGAGGTAGTGTGAGGGCAGGGCTAGGAGGTCGCATGACAGTGGGGGAAGAAGAGTGCTGGCATGATGGGCAAAGCCACCCTCTGTGCACGAATTCCATCACCTTTGGTTTAGGACCTGGAGCAGCCTGCAAGTCACACACATTCAAGAACAGACCAGGGTGCCTTGAGTTAACTTAGCTTCTAGGTCTTCCTAGTGCTCTTTTGCAGTGTTGCCTGCTCTGTGGACTCATTAGCCCCACCTGCAACTAAAGGGTTTTGTTCTTCTGTGCAGTGATCAGCAGTGACTCCTCAGAATCCAGTGATGGAGATGAGCCCCTAGAAGCCTCCACGTCAGGACTGGAAAATGGGCTTGGTAAGGAAGTGGGAAAGCAGGCTTTGGCTGCAAGAATCAGAATTAAGAGCTACTGTTTGATGCATCTTATTCTGTGTCTATTCTGTATGATACATTCAGTTTATCCTGGAATCTCATTCTCTGAGGCCTATTAATTCATAGGTCCTATTTATCAATACATGTACCCATATATTGATTATATAGTAGAAGGAGGCTTCCAAAATAATGAGTTTGTTTTTCAAATTAGCTAGTTTCTATGCTTATAAAGTGTTGGAATTATACAGTGATTTTTGAAGGCTAAATGTTCCTTTATTAGAAGGTCATATTGTCTTCTCATCATAAACTGTGTCAAAAAAAACCCACAAAAACTCATCCAGCTCTCTAGTGTTAGCAGAAAAAAGATTCATATAAAGCAATCTGAAAACCCAAGTATTGTTTTTGAGAGTTCTTCAGCAAGTCATGGCCTATATGGTGATTTTTCAAAGGAGTTTTGCAAATAATACCTTACTTTTTAATTTACAATAATCTTAAGGGATAAGAAGACTAGACACTGATATCCTTGTTTTCTAGAGAAAACACAGTCACATCAAGGTCTTCTTCAAGTCTCATGGGGAATTAAAGGGACCAATAAGACTAGCACCCTGGATTCTGCATTTTTGTTTTATAAAACAGAGCTAAAAACAATTATCAGAATGTTGTGTTTCCTCAATTCCATGGGTAGCAGAAGCTGTCCTAAGGTTTGCAGCTCTTTAGTGCACAAATTGGTGATTCATTTTCCCTTTCTACTTTCTAGACACAGAGGATATTAGAAACATGCCTATTGGGGGAAAAATACTTGGAAAATACCTAAGAACAAATAAAAATGTTACCTGGTCTTGATATTACAAAAGAACAATAATTAAATGATATTCTCATTGCTCACTATATCTATCAAAGTAAAATGTGAATTTGCTTCAAATTTTAAAGAGTGCACATTTTAGCTTTGGTCTTAGGCTAGCAAACTGCTCTAAAAGGCAATTCCAAAATATATCTATGATATGGACACAGAGGTTATTTCTCAGCCTTGCAAATTTTCATCACAACATCAGGTTGGCAAGGAGTAGAGAAGCTTGCCATTGTCAACACTAGATTTCCAAGGGCTCCCTATGTAAGAAACAGCAAAGATGAAGGAAGTGTGAAGTGACAGTAGAAGGGCTAAAAGGTAGAAGAGAAAGAGTGTAGGAAGATAAGGTTCAAACACTGAAAAGTTACCCCTTGCCTCTGGGGATAGAGGATAGAGAGTGACTATCATACAAGGCAGGTGGCTTAGGACAGACCAAGCAAGGTAACACTGTTGCAGGCCACGATATGCATAGGTTTTCAAGATTTTTCTAGGTTTTCTTATGAGGATGTTTCCTGCTAATATTTCACCGGGACCCCTAAAGATTCCTATTCTTTTGTGCAGTGACTGATAACCTTGACTTATTAGAATCAAGGAAGGAAAGAGAATCCAAAGAAGCCACCTGTTCACGACCTCAAATTACAGTAGGTAAGAATATTAGGAGTGCAACCTATAGTATTTGAGTAACAAATACTTAGAGTCTAAATCCAAAGTTCTGTTTTCCTGATGAATCTTGTTTTGAGTATGCCCCATAAGCCTTAATTCTATTACTTCTAAGAGACTATTTTCTGCATTTAATTTCTCTGACCCTATTGGGAAGTGGAAGGAGACAAGAAAGCATTATTAAGTGTTGTTTAACTGTACCAGCCCATTTGATTGATACATAGAAAATGTAACAAAAATATGTCAGTAAAATGACAAACTTTTTTATTATACACTATTATATGTATTAATGCTAAAGGGTTGAAAGAATGTACTTATTCTCTACCAATATGCTTTAGATTCTAGCCAATATGATAAGCATGGTGTTCTTCTACTTGATCACAATATTGCAATTAGTCCTAAATGTAGAAAATCTTCAAAGAATAATTTGAGCTGCTATTTAATTATTGATGGGGAAATGTCCTCTGATCAGCTATTCTCAAACCTATATTACTTAAACCATTGGCTTACATTGTGATTTTTTAAAGGGTTTTTGTAAATTAAGCTTCATTTTGTTTTAATAAAAACCTTAACAGGGAGATAGGGTAACCAGGTTATCCCAGCTTTATAGAATAGGAAACTGCAGTTGTAATTTTTAAAAGTCATTTACAAATTTACATGGAGAGTGAAAACAAAAACCAAACAGGAGCTCAGCATTATGACCCTGGGCTACCAGAACTGGATTCAGTTGAAGGAAAGTGAAGAAAATGATCATCAAAATGTTATTATGATTGCAAGCCCACTGAGTTGTCACAGAATTTGTAGACTCTTGCATATAAATAATTACTTCCTCCCCTTTACCTTATGGAGCCCACAGCTATCAGAAAATCACCTACACCCAAGAAAAGAGTTTGGATAGTAGGTAAAGGCAAATAAGAACTCTTCATGGTTACAAATGAATAGCATTTTCTACAAAAGATTCATTCTAATTCTTTGCTATATCCTTCAAAGTAAAATATAAAGTTGCTTTAATTTAAGATGGCTTGTATTTTAACTTTTGTATTACTTAGTTAGACTAACAGTCATAACAAATAAACCCAAAGAAGTCAAGGACTCAAACACAATAGAATTAATTATTTTCAAGTATACGTTCCAGTAAGTTTTAGATGGGGAGAGGGGTGGGCCCCTGTTTCAAGTGGGATTCAGGAAGCAACCAAGTGGGAGATCTGCCTTCTTCAATACCAGACTCCAACTATCCTTGGGGATATTCTTGCCCTGGGTTTTTAGAACTTCCCAAGGTTTTCCCTCTTGGTTCCTTTGTCATACACTGAGACTTTCAAGGGATATTTGCTCCTTCTGCAGTGAAAAGATTGGATGACTCTTCAGAGTCCAGTGAGGAAGAAGAACCCCCAAGAGTCTTGAGCTCAGCAATGAAAAGTGAATCTGATGAGGAGGGTAAGGACTGCCATCACTGGACTCCCAGACATGAAGAATCTGAGTTCAGAGTTCTTGTTTCCTAGGCATTTTACTAGGGCACACTTCACAGTCTATGATCCCATTCTCTGCATTTATCACATTTGGCCATTTTGAAAAATGCAAAGAGAGAAATCATTATAAATTCAGGTTTAAGAAGATGACTCTAGTTGAATGGCAGTGCCATTTGTACTATATGCTTTCATATTTATTAACCCCAAAGTATTGAATTATGTAGTGATTTCCACCCCTGTTCACTCCTATTCTGTAGAAAAAGTGGGGTATCTGCCTTTGCTTGATTTTGTCACAAACTTGCTCAAAACTTGAAAGACTCTGATCATAGACTCTGATTATAAACAGAAGGAAAAGCTTCTGATTATTACCATCAAATTCAATTTATAGTTTCTGACACATGACCCCAATATGACATTGGCCTATCTAATGATATTTGAAAATATCTTCACTGATAAGATATCCTTTTATGTTTATAACAACTTAGATGTAGTCCAGATAACTGTTGTTCTCTCCCCATTCCACAGATGGGGAAACTCTAGCACATAATCATTTAAGGATCCTTTATACATCACTTGTGGAAAGTTACCAGAAAAGACAGAGCAGCCTGAATTCCTACCAAACATCCACAGTCTTTTATTCAAACATTTAAAGCCAGACATAAAATAATAATCCTTTTTCAGAAAGACAATGTGGTTTATACCCTGTATAGTACAAAAAAGATAAGCAAGAGGGTCTGGGGAAGAATCCCATTCTCAAATATACTATTTTAATGTTCCTGAAACAAATTATGTGAGTTAATACCAAGTATGAGAAATAAAGATTTTACATGGACTAATGACAGCTCAAGTCCAGATTCACTGTCAAAGTAGTTAGCTGCGAACCTATAGGGAAAATACAGATTTTCAAAACTTCTTTTATTTTGCAATTAGGGTCAAAGAATTATGGTTCTTGGCTCCATTTAGTAATGTTCTATTCCCTGTAGATAGGAAGGGACAGAAATGATCATCATAGTATATTTCTAATCCAATTCCTGTCTACAGTGTGAGTAGTCATAAGTTTTACAACTTTTAGTTGTACATTACTGGTTGTGTTTTCCTTTACCTTTTAGATCTTGTGGATATTGGAAACAGATCTACTTGGGGGATAAACAATAGGAAAAGACGTAAGAACAATTACTGGTGTAACAAATGTCTTTCTTTACTACTAAAACTTTGCTCAAAAGTTTTGTTATATCCTTTAAAATAAAAAAAATGAATTTGTTGGTAATCTAATTAATTCATGTTATACATTTTGAATTAGAAGGGACTGGGTAATTGATACAACATGTAGGCCTCAAAAAGTTAAGTGACACAAGTAAAATAGAAGTATATTCTTCATTCGCCTCAATAGGATACAGTAGTTCCCAAGATGGAGGGGTATTCTGCTCCACATGATTATTAAGGGCCCAGCTGATGAAGGCTCTGATATCTTGAAAATGTTGCTTCCACAGACTGCCTGGATAAGCAACAGAACTGGAAGAAGTATATAACAACAAGTGGAGAAGGTAAGACATGATGACAAATGGCAAAGTTGTCCTCCAGCCCAGCCCTGGGTATGGTTCCTGGAGCAACCTTAACTAACAGGTCAAAATGGAGACACAGCATAGCCTGACAATAAGAATACTCATGCTCCTCCTACATGAGCTTCCCTTTCCAATTTTCCTTCCAAATTTTGGTGCTGGACTGGTTTCTAGGACACAGATTGAGTCTGCTAAGAAATTGTATTTCTTTCTGCAGGGATCAGCAGTGATTACTTTTCAGAATTGAGTCACGCAGAAGAACCTCAGGAATCTTCTAGTTCAGACCTAAGAAGTGGGTCAGGTAAAGAAGATTAGGATGCCAAGCCTTGGCCTGCAGAATGTCAGGAATTAAAAGCTACTGTTTCCTGATGCATTTTATTCTGAGCACCTTGAAGACCTGTATCCAGTTAATCCTGGGAACTCCTTTTCAGCATTTTAGAAAATAGAAAGAGACAGGACATTATTATAAATTCATGTTTAACAGGCTGAGTCCTATTGAATAAATGTATGTAATTATATATTGCTCTTGTAGAAGATGAATCAACCAAATGGCGGTATCTTTTTTAATGCCTACTGTTATGCCTACTAACACTAAGATCTTAGACGTCTATAGTGATATATTAATCGACACTAATGTCATTTGTAATTGTAAAAGCCTCAAAAGACAACTGGTCCTGCTATGTAATTATAGACAGAAATAAAGCTTCAGAACAACTTTCAAACTTTAGTATAGTTTTTGACAGATGTCCATTACATTGTAATTTGATAATATTGTGTTATTTTAAAATACTTTGGCAGATAAGATCTTACTTTCATCATCAAAATATCCTTAAGACTTAGGCAGGCTAATTCTTGTCATCTGCATTTTGGGATGAGGAAATACACATACAAATGTATAAGGATCAAAAAGTGTAACTGCTGTATGTAACAGGCAGGAATATAAGAGCTGTATTCCATGATCAAAGTCTAAAAAGAAGGTATAAGGGAACTGATATATAGTATCAGCATAAGTATCAGTGCCTGATGCAAGAAAACTTATTTAACAACTATATGGATGATAGATAGATAGATTGGAGATAGATAGATAAATAGATAGATAGATGAAAGTGAAAAGCATAAAGAAAAAAAGATGGTAAGATACCTAGAAGGGAAGAACAAAAATGGTTAATAGAGAAATAAAAAGGAATAGAGATGAACAACATCATTGATGAAAGGACAGAAAACAACACAGAGGACATGAGAAATCAGGAAGAGAAGCTCACAGAATCAAGTGATGGAGATAGAAATGCATAAAGCAGGAAAATGGTCAGAAAATTGAGAAATAAGGAGGAGAATGAGGTGTGGCCAGATAGAAAAGGTGACAGAGCAAATCTTTGTTGGATATAAGGTGTAGTCTTTGGAGTAGGTCCTTGGATGCTTTCTTAGCTCATCTGAGCAATGAATATAGATGAGCATGACCACATTGATGGCACTGTCTACAGTCTGTCTTTCTCTTCAGTGTCCTGTGAATTCAAAGCTCTTCAGAAGAACAGAGGAAGAGAGTCAGAAGAGATGGCAACCTATATGCATCTGATGGAGAAGCTAGTTATGATATTAATTATGAATTATCTTTGTTTCCCTCTCTGCACTGAGGAAAAGTTCTCCTTTCTTTACCTTACCTCTCCAAAATATAGCCTGTACATGCACACACAAATGCACAAACTCATGTATACAGACTCCCATACAGAGGCAGAGATGTGTGCACAGATTTGGACTGCTTTTAACAGGTTTGAGGGAGCCAAAAGGGAAAGATGAGCTATGTTCCTGAATGGAGGGAGGTGACACTAAGTGGGTAATGTAAGGAGGAAGCATGGAAAAGATAGTCTGGGGTCACCAAATGGAAAGACATCTGATGGAGTAAGCTTCAAGTTTTTTCAAGTGGACATGGAATCCAAATATCACCAGATTGGGGTGTTTTGGAGGGGGAAGAGTGATGATTTTCCAGATACTTCTCAGAAGTTGCACCAGAAACATGGTAATAAAGTCCATGACTGACTGAATCTTGCAATACAGAAAGCCTGTAGGGAACTGGCGAAAGTAATAATGGTCAACAGTGAGGTCAATGTCAAAAGAGTAGGCATTTGGTGATGATGATGAAGGTAGCAATCTGTGATTTGAAGCTGAATATAAAGAAAATATAAAGACAAAGTTTATAATGATAAATCAGCCAAAAGATCAAGATAAGAAGCAAAGAGAAAACAGAAAAGAAACTGACAGTAGGAAAAAGATTGCTTCAACAATAAAACTAGATCCAAGGGTAGAAGCATAGAAAAATAGATGGAATGAACTATATACACAGGGTAATAAATGGAGAAGAGAAAGGGGAGGCACGCAGAGAACATGAAGAGAAAAAGTTAAAAGATGAGAGAAAAATGACAGAATGTAAAAGGAAGAGAAATGAGGTAGAGAATTTGTGGGATCTGAAATGGCCACAAGACAAAAGCAATGTTGGCACAAAGGGTGGCTCACAGCAGCAGTGAGTTTTCAAGGCAAGGTATGCCCAGGTATCAGTTTCCTCTATAACTCACACAGATTACAAGATACCTCTCCTAGGCATTTCATCTACTCTTATGGTTTCAATCACCATCCACAACTTAACAGTTCCTAAGCATACACATCCAGCCCAGCCCTGTCTTCAAAACATCTAAACTCACTCATCCCAATGGCAGGCTGACTTCTGTCCAAGGTTCTGAAGGCCCCAGCCTTCTCCATTTTAAGTGTCTTTAAAAACCTTCAAACTCAACACTTCCAAAACTAAGCGCTCATCTTCTTCCTTAAAACAAACATCTGCTCCTCCAGTGTTCTCTGTCTCTAAAACACTGTTGATTGTTCCATTGTTTCACACTGAAATTCTCAAAGGTATCCATGACGCCGTTGTCCCCTCAATTGATATACCACTTCTACAACGTAACTATCAATTATTCCTTTTAAATGTCTCCAACCTGCCCCCTTCATCTCCTTTCTCAGTGTTAACAATCTAATCCACATTTACATCACTTCTCACTTGAACTAGGTCTACAGGGTCCTGTTCTTCTAATCTTGTTCCCACCAAATGTATTCTAAGTGATGTAACTAAATTGATCTTTCACAACTGCATCTAATGTCCCTTCATTTCCTTTAGGATTAATTTAGTTCTCCTTCATGTGGCCTCCAGAGTAACTTCACTCAGGGCTCCTGCTTATTTCTCCATCCTCATCATTGCCCTTTATTTTTTCACTTCATGCTCAGACATACTAAACTCCTTGTGGTTACTTGCATTTGCTGGATGTAGACCTTTGTACATACTTCTTCATATTTCAATATGTTCACTCATTTATTTCTGCGTCAATTCTCTGGTTGCTCATAAGACTGACAGCCACTGATGCTTCAGTAGTGTAGTGTCTGAATTATTATCAGCACACATCTCAGCACCTGGCTCCTGAAAGTGTCTTTGCAAACTTATTGAATGAGTGAAAAAAAAATGCTCACTTCCTATATTCCAAAATTTGGAAATTTGTCTGGCAAAATTTACTTTATAATAGTGTTATACAGAATATTTACAAAAACTATTTTAATAATATCACAAAAAATAAATACAAAAGTATGCAATAAATGTCATAAGTGAATGGATGGGAAAAACGCATAAAGAAAAAAAGGAAGAACAAAAACACAGATTTGGGACAAAGAGAAAATGATGCAAGTGAAAAAATAGAAAGGAAAGGGCAAAGACAATGTGGGCAAACAAAGAAAGATATCTCAGAGGTAGAAAGACCCTTTGGTGGAGGAGTGGGGGAACAGAGGATCACTGGAAGAGAGGAGGTGCAAATGAAAACTCTTTACAAATCATAATTTAGGAGCAGAGCCACAAGGACTTGGGAATAAGAAGTGTTCCTGTGTCATGTGTTTTTCAAAAGGTATGTCAAGAGGCCGAGAAGCCAGGAGTGAGAGTAACCAAGCATCTGACATGATGGGTAAGGCTGCCTGAGGGTCTTGGGGTGGAGATGGTTCAGCAGATACCATGGACCCTGGGTATGGAGTAGTTGATCAAAGTCAAGGAGTATTTCAGGCAGTTCACAAACATGAAGTGATCAGTTACGGATGTTGAGGGTCATGCGGCCCTCAACTTCCATAATAATTCAATGTCAGGATGTCAGGAGTCTGAAATCAGAGCTTTCATTTCCTGCTGCACTTGACTCTGAACACCCTTTGATAAGGAAGGAGTCCATCCATGCCCCAATCCCATTCTCTGCATTTGCTTGAACTGAGCCTTTTGGGGATGGCAAGGAGGCAGGAAATCCTTATAAAGTCATGTTAACAGGGTAAGCCCTGTCGATTTACATGGATGATGTAGTAGAAATACACTGGTAAAAATGGTAGTATTTCATTTGCTCTATTAAAGTAGCAGTACTAAAGTATTGGATTTATATAGTGACATCCACCCTTGTCCATGAAATGAAGAAATCCAAGTGTTCTTCAGCTGGTAGATAATAGTGTCACTTTGTCACAACCTTGGAAAATCCTCAGAAGACAAATGGTCCTGTTACCCATTAGGAAACAAAGGCCCTGGATAACTATTCTTAAACTCAACATATGGTTTTGAAGGATGCCCTCCTGTATGTTATTGACTAATTAGGTGATTTCCCAGTAACTTTTGTAGATAAGATCTTATTTGATTGTCATAAAAATTTTAAGCATAAACAGGGTAACAGTTGCTATCCCTGTTTTTGTGAAAGAGGAAACTGATGTACTTAAGTAATTAAGAGTTTTTTCAAAGTCTCAGAGAAATAAAGGAAGACCTTAGATATCAATTCAGTACTTGTCTGTTACCTTTAGGAGGAAGACAGAAATGGTACTCAGATCATTATAAACTCAAGCCTTCCACAGTATGAATTACCATAAGATTTGTAACTCTTTATTTCTTAGTTACAGTTATCTCACCACCACTTGTTACTTTCTAGATACTGTGGATATTGGAAACAATTCTACTTCGGGAAAACACAATGAGAACATAAGTAAGTGAATAAGAATTTTCTCAATTTTTATATTACAAATGAACTGTTTTTTTTTTGTTTTTAATGCTAAGCTTATCATTATTTTCTATACCTTTTATAACACAAAACATGAATGAATTTTAAGGTAACTATTTTTTTCAAAATGGCCATATCTTCATGTTGCTTTTCATTCTGATTTTAAAATACGTTTCTTATAAACATTTGTGTATGTCTTTCCAGAATTTTTCTATGCATGTATTAACTCAGTTTGGAATATATTTTTATTTCTCTTAATATAGTAATCCTATAGCATCTTGCCTTTTAAAATTCATATATCATACCTAAACAATAAAAACATTTAACACTTCAGCTGAATTATGAAAAGTCTTATTTGGTGCTTTAACATGCACTATTTTCATTTTTAGGGTGGTTGAGCATTTTTCATTTGTTACTGGTCATTTTTTTTTCTTCTTCATTGTACCATGTCAGTATTTCCTGTTCTGGTGTTTGTCTTTCCCTACATTGCTTATCTGATATATGTATTAAATCTTCATCATATATGTTGCTAATATGTTGTCCTGTTTGTAATGTTTACACCTATAATCCCATGGGTTTTTCCCCTTTGCTTTTATGTGAGGTGGGAATTTAAAAAATATTCCCTACACTATTACACTGAAATTGAACTGCCACTTTAATTGCACAGTGCCTTTACCTCCCTATATACTAGATTTTCTTTTGCAATCAAAGGGGCTACAGAAAAGAAGAGAGAGCTCAGAGGTAGCACCATCCTGATAACTCACTGGGGGTGAATTTTAAAATACGCTCAAGAAGATCTCCCCACCTCCTTCCCAAGTTCACTGGAACCTCTGATTAGAAATGCACTGGGTGTTATATGTAAGTGATGAATTACTAAATTTTACACCTGAAATCAATTTCACTATATATGTTAACTAACTAGAATTTAAATAAAAAGTTGAAAAAAAAAAGAAATGCATTGAAAATTCAGATTAACTTAAGGAGAACAGAAACTTTTACTTGCTTATTCATATCTTATTTGATGTTCTTCCAATAAGAATTTTCTTATACTTTTTTTAAAAAGTCTTATATGGTGTACAAATTTGCCTGTTACTAAGAATACCTTTTTCCCCATTACATAAACTGGATTGAATTTAAATGAGACAAGACTCTCAAAATCTTTATTTAAATAGGAAATCTGTGGTCATTTTATTACTTACATGTAAGGAAATCAGAATGCAAAGGAATTTTTCTGATTGAATATAAAAAATCTCATAGGCGTTTATACAGTTTAGGGATCCAAATATCACTTAAAACATTGGCCGATATGAAACTGTTGAATCATTATATTGTACACTTGAAACTAGTATGACCCTGTATATAAACTACACTGGATTAAAATTTTAAAAAAATTTTGAGAGGGGTAGAGAGAGAAAGAGAGAGATAGAGAATCTTAAGCTCCATGCTCAGCATGGAGCCCAATGCAGGGCTCGATCTCATGAGAGTGAGATCATGACCTAAGCCTAAATCAAGAGTCTGTCACTTAACTTACTGAGTCACCCAGGTGACCCAAATTTTCTTTATTTCACTCCCAAACCTGTCACTCACTTCCAGTCATCCTTATCTCAGTAAGCGGCACTATATCTACTCATTTGCTTGAACCAAAAATGGAGAAGGTGTGCTTGATTCCTCCCTTTTCCTAACCACTCCTCACATTGACTCATCAAGTTTCAAAACTATATATCAAATTTGTCCATTCTTTATTGGCCTTGCCACTCCCCCAGTTCAAACCCCATTATCTTGCATATGGAATATCATAGAGTCCTCCTAATTCACCCCTCTGCTTTCGTTCTTGCCATCTATAATTCATTCTTCACTCAACAGCCTGCCACCCAATTGCTTACATGCCTTCAATAGTTTCCAGCTGAACTTAGAAAACCATTACACAAGCTGTCCCTGATCATTTCCTATCCTTTACCATGATTTCCTCAGTGCTACTCTCCTGTGAGTCCCCTGTGAACAAACTGAGTAAGTTTCTGCCTCAGGACACATGCAATTTCTGCTGAAAAAAGCACTAAATATAATGCTTTTCCCCTCAGCTCAAACATCTCTTCCTTGAAGAGGCCTTCCCTGATCTTAATCTTTTAAATATACCCTCCTGCCTCTTTTACAGTATCTTTTCACTGGTTTATCACAGATTTTTTTATGCACAGAAGATTGGATCTTAGTATGATCTAATTTGTCTATATTATTCTGTATGATTATACTTTCCAATCTTGTTTTAAGAAATCTTGACCTAACCTAAGGTTCCCGTCCAGGTTAGCTTTTCATACCTTTCCTATTTTATTGAACATCTTGAGGAATAAAGGACAGAATCCAGGAATAAATACTTCCCCTTCCATTTCTAAGATGAACAGTATCAGGACCCAGTTGACCATAGTGACAACCATCCCCACTGGCTTTCTCTCCTACTCTTCCTCTCTTTCTCATTCCCCACTCCTTTTTTTTTTTTAATATTTTTTTATTTATTTCCAGGAGAGAGAGAGAGAGACAGCGTGAGCAGGGGAGGGTCAGAGAGAGAGGGAGTCACAGACTCCGAAACAGCCTCCAGTTCTGAGCTGGCAGTCAGCACAGAGCCCGACGCGGGGCTCGAACCCACGAACCGCGAGATCATGACCTAAGCGAAAGTCGGACGCTTAACCGACTAAGCCACCCAGGCACCCCTACCCCTGATTATCTCTTAATATCTTGTCTGTTGTCATTCTTTTCTTCACACACCACTCTGGCCTCCTTGAACAAACTAAATAACTTTCTGCCTCAGGACCTTTGCACTTGATATTGACACTACATAAAATGATTTTCCTCTCAGCTGAAGTGAGGAGAAAATAAACAGTAATGCAGGTATAGAGTGACAGAAACTGCGTCTCATACTTTCACTGTAAGCATCTTTGCTGTGGACATCTTTGTTGCAAATATTTTTACGGCATAACTAATTAGCTATAAGGCAATTCTGCCCTTAAAATTTAAAAAGAACTGGATGGCAGTTTGGTTTCATTTCTTCATTGACACAGTACTCACCTTTTTGTATTATATAAATCATAGTCCTTGTAATGGTCTATTCAGTAGTATAGTTTTGAGCCCACATTTCCCACAGAATTTTGAAATATCCCTCAACAGACATGTAACAATATGGCGAGAACAGTGCAGAAAACTTTTGCAACACATTCCAAAGCTCAGTTACAGATAAGCATCCTAGGGTTTGGAAACTGACACTTCTCTTAATGATGGGAGAAATTTTAGAGAAAAAAGAAAAAGTGCAATGCTGAACATGGAGATAAATCAACAAGCAAAAAAAAAAAGTATAATACTATGAACAAAAGCCTGTGAAGAAAGGGCTTAGGTACAATCCATAAAATAAAATCAGTTGCTTGTGTGTGCAGTATTGCCATGAATCTGTACTACACATTTTGAATGTATTCGAAAATTATTTTATTTCCCAATAAAATGTTTTTCATTTTTCATGTTTCATTATGTCCTTTTCAATGAATATCCCTCTTTTACTTTTCATCATTTATCTTTTATATCAAAATTGCCTCATGGCCAGTTAGTTATGCAACAAAATGTTTGTAGTGAAAATGCTTGCAGCTAAGATGCTTACTTACTGAGCAACAGCCTAGCACAAGCAGAAACATGCTTCTTATATAGAGTGGCCAGTTAGAGCTCACTGACAAGCTGAAACAGAAGTAGATATTGAATGAGGTGAAGAAATAACCCACTGGGCTGAGGCTGAGATGTGCAGGGTCTTTTGGGGAATGGCAAGGAGATCATTGGCTGGAGAGGTAAAGAGGAGTGAGTGGAAAGTGGTTCAGGTCATATAGACCTCATAGGCCATAGTAAAGACTTTGGATTCTTGTCTCAGTAAGAGGAAAAGACATTAGAGGGTTTTGAGCTACAGAATGGTATAATCTCAGTTATGGTTTTAAAGGATTGCTCTGTAGGAGAATAGACTTTAGGAGGGCAGGATGAGAGATCAGTAAGGAGGCTGTTTTAATGATCTAGGCAAGGGCACTGTTGGACTGACCTATGCTGATAGCAGTGGAGGTGTTCAAAAATCGGTGCATTCTGAAAACATGCACATATATAATACACCAAAATGTATGTAAATGTATATTTTATATATTTTATTTATAAATATATAATTACATAGTATATACAAATATATATAATATGGAAATGTATTTATATAGATAAATAGAATATATAATTTATATAGAGAAATATAATACATAAATATGAATGTATCATATATGAAAATACATAAAAATGATAAATTATAAGTAAGCTATATGTAGAATGTGACACATATATAATTAAATATATAAATTATATAATATATGTAATATGTAAATAGGTAAATATAAACTATAGCTATTATATATTTATATAATATATACATGTATAAATAATAAATTATATAAAGTTATAAAAGGATATATTTTATACATATAAACCTATACAGTTTGTATATTATACACAAATATAAATATATAGTACTACAGTATAATGTATATAGCTTATATATAAAAATATATAATACATTATATATAATATGTAAATATAGATAGATGGATGATAGATAGATAGATATGTATATATCCAACTCCCAAATATCCCTGGCCATCTGCAAGGTCACGCACATATCTAGGGAAGTGCAGACGCTCAGGGTATGCAAAGGCTCAGGAAAGACCTAAGAAAACCCTCAGTTCTAACCTAGAGGCTCTGTTCAAGCAGGAAGTGGTAGCTAAGGTGGAATTGCAAACTGCCTAGCTGTGCACTGAAGGCATGCATCAACACAGGCCTTTATAGTCCCTTAGCAAATACTGGAAGACTCATCAGCCCTAGCTATTTAGGGAAATCCCTTTCCAGTCATTAGCTGACCACTAAACTAATGGAGCTGAAGCTTCAGGAGCTGCAGGGCAAAATACACAGACTTTACAGAGCTAGTT